CAGAGAGAGAAATCTGAGTCCTTTCATCTGATTAGATGATGGGGCTTTGTGGTTTACACTTGGAGCAGAAAACTAGGAGAAAGGGAAGTTTGACTATTTACTTTTAATTTTTTTTTTAATTTATCCAGGACTGTCAAAGAGAGAATTTATCCAGGATTTTCAAGATAGTTTGAAGAATCTATAGACTTTGTACTGGCAGGTGACTTTTTCTTTAGATTTCATATATGAAGAAACAAGATTAGAAGACAACTTCCAGGGCATGTGCACAAGCTCACTAGGGAATCCCCCTGTACCCCCGCCACCCAGGTTTCAAGATATAATTGAGAAATAAAAATTGTATATATTTATGGGGCACAAGATGATATTTTGATATCTGTATACTTTATGAAATGATTAAATCAAGCCAGGCTGAAAATGAGAAGTCTTAGTATTCATTATCTGGGTCTCTTGCCTTTCATGAGGTTCAGATCACACACACACACACACACACACACACACACACACACTAAGTGGGACCCAGTAACTCATTCCAATGACTCACAGTTTTCATCATCAAGAAAGCCTCTTTAGGCCTTTCAGATGGTAGGAAACTAAACTAGTTACTCCTTTCATTGTTCAGAGGGCAGAAGATCTCTGGTTTTGGTCAGAGCTTTTCAGATTCTTTATGACTCTTGAATTCTGCTGAATCATATTGTCTTAATGTGACGGGGTGGTGGTGGGGTGAGGGTTGGGAAGGAATTTCATCACTGACTTCCATGTTCCTACACAGTCTATATTTCAGGAGGCTTTGATTCAGTATACCTAGAGCAGGACCTAGAATCCACTTTTAGATGTCTACCCAGGGCCTGTACAAGGAATTTCACTGTAAAGCCAGGGAGAATTATTGCCTAATGGCTCCATCACTCTGGTACAGGAGAGTAACCATAGGGTTACAGTCTGTGGAACTCTAGGCATCCACAGGAAACAAAGGACAGGATGCACAGTACAGACTCAGAAGGGCAGATAACAGAATGAAATTTGTTATATGACACCATTTTTTAAAATAATAACAACATTTATGTATGTGAAACAAAACTGATATGCGGATACATATTTAAATACATATATTGACCATGATAGGGGAGTGGATATTATGGATAGAGAAAATAAAAAATGTCTTTGTATTAACTGAGGATGACAACATGCTAAGCACTGAGGAGCATGGCTGCTAGGTCTTAAATGTGTCTCCCCAAATTTCATTTGTTGAAAATTGTATCCCCAAATTCATGTGATACCTGAAGTGGGACCTTTAGAAACTAATTAGAATTAGATAAAATCAGGCAGTACCCCCATAGGACTGGTGGGCTTATAAAATGAGCTGGCCACAGTGGCACCAGACTGTAATCTCGGTAACTCAGGAGGCTGAGCCAGGAGGATCACAAGTTCAAGGCCAGCTGTAGCAATTTAGGGAATCTCATCGATTCATTCAGATCCTGTTTCAAAATAAAAAATAAAAAAAGTTGGGGATGTAGCTCAGTGGTAAAGTGCCTCTGGGTTTAATCCCCAGTACCAAAAAAAGGATGAAGAAGAGACACCTGGGCTGACACATGCTTGTTCTGTCTCGCCAGGTGATGCCCTCTGTCATGTTTGGAAGCAACTGGAAAATCCACACTAGACACAGCACAGATGCCGGCATGACACCATGCTCCTAGAATCCCCAGGTTCTGGGACCATGAGCCAAATAAACTGACATTCTTTATGAGTTGCCCAGTCTGTGGTATTCAGTTATAGCAACAAAAGCCAAACAAGATGATGGCTAACTAGACTTTGCATTTAACCTTCAAGAAAAGGAAGAAAAAAATGATTGGGAACAATAAAATGTGCTCCAAGGGAATCAGAGTCTCAACCCAGCTTGGCCTGCTGAGGGTCCAACCTCATCCAACAGGATGGAGACACAGTAAGGGGAAGTGTCCCCTTGGAAAGTGTTATCCTCCCTTTCCCCTACCAGCCTTTCTCTTGAGCCCTCTGCCCTTTTAACCTCCCCACAGCTCTTACTTTCTAATTTTTTTTTTAAAGAGAGAGAGAATTTTTTTACTATTTATTTTTTATTATTTTAGGTTATGGTGGACACAACATCTTTATTTTATTTATATGTGGTGCTGAGGATCGAATCCAGCGCCCCGCGCATGCCAGGCGATCGCGCTACCACTTGAGCCACATCCCCAGCCCCTACTTTCTAATTCTTTAATCACTTTCAAGAAGCAGGAAGCAGCAAGATTGGTACTTGGTTGGAGAGAGGCAGCAAGAGACCACAATAAGCATAGCATGGCTGATCTTCTTTTGGATTTCTTGTTTTTGTTTTCAATTTGCTAAGTATACTGGTTCATCTCATTTCTGTTCAGCTTTCATTTACCGAGGACTTGCTATGGACAAAGTTTTGTGTAGCCATAGGGGATTATTTAATTAACTCATTAAGCACTAGAAACTCAGTGAAATCTGATCCTGTTTTCTAGATGACTCAACAATAGAGCAGTTATGCATCTTTTTGCTTAACAAATATAACATTCCGTGAGTCTATCACTCCAATTGGGACTACCAGGATCCATCAAATCAACATGTCTATATGTATGTATCTACATATCTATTAATAAAAAATACCCCAAATATGGTTGGCTCCCAAAGAGAAAGAAATGAATCATATTCTTTTCTGCAGTATCTGACTCTTCTTGTCTTTGGATATGTGAACACATATAGATACAAAGGGCTTAATAAATACTTCTTCTATGGAGACACATTTAGGTAGCTCTCATCTCACCTACAGTTACTAAAATATTCTGTTTTATGGAAATAGTGAGCAATTGGAATGAGTTGCTGGCAAGTCACTTTGTGTCTGCTACTATTGTTTATAGCACTTTCATGTCTATGGATATGTAACTGCATGATTGGTTTCCACATGCAGAATTATCTGTTCATATATTTTCATATATTTTAGTCTGCAAATACCTAACTGATGAGCACCTGCACCTGAACCCATTACAAAGGATGGCTTAAATAATAGCATCAATTCAGAGGCATTGCCAGCCAAGCATGGAATTTTCAAATGCAGCCAAATGAACCAATGTTGCTTCTCTAGTGCTGCCATACAATCTCCTTCACTTTCAAGTCTAAACCTTTCATGCTGTACATATCACCTGCCTTTTAGTTGAAAAATCAAGACAGGAAAGTCTTCCTAGAAAATAAATTAAGTCATGATATAGGTGGTATCTTCATAAATGAACACCTTGGAAGAAAGAGAGTCCATCTGTGGCTCCGAGTGTTTAAATCAACTTCCAATTCCATGGCTTTGGTCAAGAGCTCTTCCCTTCAATTCCTTATTTCCTTTCTTCCTCTCATTCTCCCTCCCACCTTCCTTTTTTTCTTTTGTAAACTGTCCATCTATATACGGAGACAATAAAAAAAAAATGCCCAAATTTTGGTTGGCACTCAAGCAGAAGGAAATGAATCATGTTCTTTCCTCATTGGTTGCTTGCAACACCTAACTATTCTTTTCTTTGGAACTGTGGACAAATACAGATATAAGGGGCTTAATAAATACTTCTTTCATTAAGCCACATGACCACTAACTCACATATGCATACACAATGCAAACCATTCTCCCTGACTCTACCTTTCTCCTCTACAACGTTTATGCAATAGTCACATTCTTCTAAAAAAGTGAAATTATTGCTGCTTGTCTACTAACATCTAATTAGGATATATATGTATATGTATGTGTATACATATATACATATATATATATATACACACACACATTATATATGTATGCATACAGGTACTTGTCTGTACATGTACATATATATATATATATATATAATTATACATATAATTATACACACACACACATACTACACACACACACAAATATCTATCTCCATTCAAGAAATACTCTAGTCAAGAAAAATAGTGACCTGTAATCCCAGCAAATTGAGAGCCTGAGGCAGGAGGATTGTGAGTTCAAAGCCAGCCTCAGCAAATTAGCAAGGCACTTAGCAACTCAGCAAGAAACTGTCTCTAAGTTAAATATAAAAAGGGGCTGAAGATGTGGCTCAGTGGTTAAACACCCTGGGTTCAATCCCTGGTACCCCCTCAAAAAGAAGGAAAAATAGTGCATTTTGACAGCTGATATACCATATAATAGAGGCAATGTGAAAATAAATTTCAGAAACGCTTTGCATTAAGTGTTCATAATGAAAATATTTTAGTTTACTATAGACCAACAGGATTTTTGGGTCCCCAAGTGCCAACATAGGGGTGCTGAAATTCCTGATGATTTGCAAGCCCTCTAGGAGAAAGACCATGATTTTCTACAGGCGAGACTTCCCTGGTATACCTATATAAAAAGTGATGTGATTGACACCACCCATCTTAAAAAGGTGTGGGGAAATGCTGAAAATTCCATTTTCCTCATTCTACAGTTATTTCTTACAGTGGGCAACTCTTTCCCATGGAGTGAGAGAGAACTTGCCACACAGAAAAGTCCCACTGTGAGATCTCATTAGAGACCTTCTTTCCCTCTGAGCTTGGGCAAACATTACACCACCAGAAATTGTTTGCTGATTTTCCTGAAGTCTTTCTCAGACCTGCTTCTGGAGGTAAGACTTCTTTAAGAGCCCATCAGTACAGATGTTTCACTTAATTGCTGGGAAGTGTCCAAATCCAAATTATAATCATTCCACTAGGATAGAGATGCCCCCTGAGGCTGCACCGTATTTAATGCTATAACTGTTTTAGCCAAGTGCCAAGAGCCTGATGCCTCATTTACATCATGGCTTCGGAATCTCTGCTGATAACACTGAAAACAAAGATGACCACCATTCAAACAGCCTTGTTACTGGAGCACACAGAAGCCCCCATGACCTAGAACCTTTAAAGTGTTGATAGCTTTAGAAAAGCTATTAAATTCCACACACGATATGATGGGAATCCTTAAAAACAACAACAACAACAAAAACAAATGAAGGCATTTTATAGCTAAACAATTTTATTGGCTTTTTTTTTTTTTTTTTTGTGAAATAAAAAACATGAAACAAACCACCGTGGTTAAAGGCCATAATCAGCATCAACCAAATGAACCAGCCACTTGGTTACAGCAGCTGATAACAACACTAGTGGATATTATTGCTTATACCCCATGTTCATTTATATGTCCATTACATTTTGGCAAGATTACAATCAAATGGGAGCTTTGGTTGTACAAATTTAACTATGACTACTCACTGAAAACGCAATCTCTATCATTTTATAATGGGATGCATGCCAATTCTCCCTGAGTCTTGACATTTATCCTCTCATTCCATCTTCTTTCTGCTTCCATTAATGATTTATAACCCCATTTAAAAAAAAAAATCAAGGGGGATGCATTTATCACCATCCCTACTCCACTGCCCCCTGTTGTCAGCAAGGGTGTTGCACTTTTGGGCAAGCTCTAGCATCTAATGTGTTTCCACTGTTAAGAATAAACACCCACCTGTAATACAGACAGGTTCCCAAATGCATACTTGTCCACATTGGGGTTTGGACTCAGCTGTCTATTTCATTTTATGAAAAGCTAGAAAAAAATAAAATCAACAGCCCTTAACATCAATAAGTTGACCTCCTAACAGGATGAGCCCCAGGTCCTGCCCACACAATTTTATAATGTCTCGCCCAGCAGGCACGGAGATGTGGTTTTACAGTGCTGTGTGTGTGTGTGTGTGTGTGTGTGTGTGTGTAACATTTTAATTCACAGAGAAGCAATGACTAGATGCCTCTTGAAAGCTCCCCGCTGCTCTACCACTTTCTATTTTAACACTGAAAACTCAGAAGGACCAAGGGTCAGAACTAACTCACAATAGCACCATTTCCTAGACTCTTGGGATTAGATTCCTTTCTGGTTGGAGAAGGCAGGGACCTAGCCTCTAGCTCCATGCTTTCACAGGCCCTGCTGAATTTCAGCAGGAGTGGGTGGTTTGCCTTAGCCTACTTCTGCAGCAACATGAATTTTTCCCTGGGAAGAGTTAAAAATATATGCCTTACAAAATGAAGTTGGTTGGCCACAGGTGAGAGACCTGAGGAAGACGGTTTTCCGGTGGTGAGATGTGACAAACCTGTAGATGGTGGGACGAGTCTGGGGAAATTTTCCCCTACCCATCTCAATTCAAGTCAGAGGAGAGTCTGATGCAGAAGCACGGCAAGATCAAGGAATACTGGGAGACATAACCTAATATAGCAATCCAAACACCAATGTTCTAATGGTAGCTTATGTGTTTAGGTCCACCAGTGAGTCTGCCCTGGATAATGCTGGGATTTAATGAGCCCTTCTAATGATTATAAAGATTATCCTCTTGAATCTAGACATTTTAAACAACAGAATATTTGCTATCACTATATTTTACATGGCACATATAACCATATAATTACTAGCACTTACACAGCAAATATTGTAAATACACATTCTTGGAGTCGAGTTGGTAATTATACCGATGTTATTCAGAAGAACAAAAATTAAGCACTTTCAACTTGCACTTTGGGGGACTTCAGTCCAACCCTTTACTTCACAGCAAAAGGATAACCCTTTAATTATGTAATAATGCTTGGCAGTCATATGGGCCAAGAGAATCACAGGGCGACGTCATGGTCAAATTTGTGGCCTGTAAAATAAAGTAATACATAGTATTCTCGTTTCAACAAAATACAAGAGACCATATAAAAATATTTTCCAATTTGGAATCTGAAACATGAAAGCTGGATTTTTTTTCTTTGTATAAAAAAGAAACAAAGTAACGGACTAAAGTTTATTAAGCCTCCAAAAAAAAAAAATAGATATATACGTATCAGTTTAAGGAATGCAGTGAGAGAGTCAGCTTCCCTTTTTGTCCAGGCTCATTGATGGTGAGCTTGTGCTTTGATCCTAACAAAGATAAATGCACAAAAGTGGAGGAAGGTCAGTGCCTGAAACCTGAACTACATCACATCTCTAATAAGAGGACTAACTTTACAGTAGTGCTTTTAAAAGTGGTGTATCAGATTACTGATTGTTTTTTTCTGTTCCTTTTCAGGCAACTGCCGGAGATGAATTCCAGAAGCACCACTTTCGTCTTGAGTGATGTTTATTTAGTGCAATGTCTTCCTTCTCTCGTTCCCTTTTCACACGCTGGTAGTGGTCTTCCTCCTTCAGGTACCACACAGGGGGCCAGCGGTGCCGCTCAAAGTACTCCTGATTGTCTGGTGAAGGAAAGACGCTGATGGTTACTCCTGCTGTCCACTAATTGTGCCTGGTGCTTCAGATATCCTCTCCATAGCCTGATGTGGCAGAGACTATGAGTAGCACCATCTGCAGATGGTGACACTAGAGTTTAGAGAGGTAGACTCTCTTGCTGACAAGTCCTGCAGCTGAGCACAGAGAACCTGAACCATTTGATTTTAGAGTCTAAGCTAGCTCCCAGGACCAGCCTCCCTAGACAAGGGGGAACCAACAACCTCGGTGCAGCATGGGACCCTGAACTCCAGTCCACCTGAGTCCCCCATACAAGTCATTCTCCAAAGAGAATCCCCAGACTACCGTTCCTGTGACTGCCAGGCAAGGACTTCTCTATGAGATGAGTGAGCTCCCTCCCACTGCATGGAAGGTGCTAGCTACTTCAGTCAGGTGGGGAGAACTGGATGAAGGGGGGACCTCCCATGGTCTTACCTGAAGATTTTGATTTGATTTCTTTGCGGAACTTGGAACAAACACTGTTGTAGTTGGTGCAGATGTGGTGCAAACACCAGGCGGCCAACTGGTTGGCATTGTGAAACTGCAGAAAAGTGACCAAAATGGGGATCAGATTCTTATTTTCTAAAGTGAGGCTACAGAGAAATTGGAAGCCATCATAAGAAATGCAGGGCCCACAGAACTGATTCAGGAAAGCTCCTGTTTTGACCTCCGTGTTTTGACTTTGGCCATGGCTCTGATGCCCGCCAAGGGTAGTGTTTGGCACACCCTCCCTCACCCCCACCGTGACAGAGATGCCCAAAATAATCACTGTATCACATCGTTTTTTAAAACAGGCCTCGCCCTTTTGCTCTCCTCCCGCCACCTGGCCTCTAATGATGAATGGCCCTGCCCTCTGGAAGGCACCAGCCAGCAGCAGAGAGCAGCGATGTCACCTCTGTTTAAGGAAGCCTCCGCAACGGAATACTCCGTGTCACATGTCAGAGCTCAGCTTGCTGGGGTCAAAGATCAGAAAGACGAGACTGTGGAATGCGTGACTGTCCTATACCTGTCCTCTGGTTACATAAGAGGAGCAAGCAGTCTGGGCAGGGTGGGAGGGGGACAACCACTCCATCTTTTTATTCTGAGCAGATGCTTAGGGAGGTAGCAGCTGAGGTAGGAATGACTGCAAAAGATCTGATGCTCAAAAAACTAACAGCCATGGGGCTGGGGATGTAGCTCAGTGGTAGAACACTTGCCTCACACCTGTAAGGCACTGGGTTCGATCCTCAGCACCACATAAACATAAATAAATAAAGGTACTGTGTCCATCTACAACTAAAAAAAATATTAAAAAAAAAAAAAACAACAGCCAACTCTCCCTCTTATCCTATTACATACAGCATGGCACCCCTCGCCCTGCCCCTCATGCAGATGTTTTATTGGCCATAGAGACCTGAACCCCTGTGGCTTCTATCTCCACTGAGAAGGTCAATTGAAAAGCCCAAGTTCTCAGAAACCCTCTCAAGAAACTGAAGATCACAACTCCAAACATTGGAGAGAGTATGACGTTGGTACCTCCAGCTTCTCTTCGATGTTCAATTTCTCTCTGAAAATGACTGGTAGTGGTGAGCCAGGTTGGCAAGTGCCAGCTCCAGAGAGCCAGCTGATGGCCTAAATTTCTTCCCTGCTCTGAGTCCAGTGACTTCATATTACTACATCCAGTTGCACCACAGAAGTTGGAAAAGGCAACAGATCAGGGACTCACTTGCCCCCAAGGGTAAATGTTAAGCTCTTTCCAGCTCTTTACTAGGTTAAGATTGAACAAACCAGCTAAGGAGACTCCATCCTAAACTCTTTCTGCCAAGGGCTTAGCATAAGCAGATTTCCTTGCAGGATGTGTGTATGTGTGTGTGGGAAGGGTGGTAGGGGGAGGGGACGGGCTGGGGACACTGAGCAAACAGACATAAGTGCAAATTATGACCTCAAGTGAACTGGTCCTATATGAAATTCTGAGTCATTTCATTTTTCCTAGGAGGGACACTTACTGAATAGAGCACAAGTCTTAAACTGTCACCCAAATGGGGAATGTTTCAAAAGACCCCAAATTTCAAACCATGGTAGGGGGCTTACTGTTTCTACCACAACAGATGTCTATCTTCAGTTTGGATTGTTGTTTATGTTAGATTTAATAATCTGGATTCATGGCTGTTTCTCTCACTTGCCTATGATTGCTCCAAAGGCAGGGAACCTACTGTTTGTAATGTATACACCCTCAGCCCAGGGTGGTGCCTGGTACTTGGAGAGAAAATCACAAATATTTGTTGAATGCTAAGTCAGAGTGAGTAGGCTGTCCTAAGTCCTGTTCCACCTTCTAACATTTTGAACCTGAGCCATCTCCTGTGGCCACAGCTGAATGGCCTGAGCAACACCTGCCACATTGCACCTTCCTCTCCTTGAAACCACCTCCTCTCCCTCAATCAATTAAATTACTCAATTTAAATACTGTTTTAAATTGCCTGACTTCAGACTTATTAAGCCACTGCCCGAAGACAGAGAGTAAGAGAGTGAGAATGAGCACACAGAAGGCCAAACTCAAGCAGAAAGACGGTAGAACTTATTCATTCCTTCAGTGGAAAATTCATTGTCAATCAGTCCAAGCCAGGGACTAGCATTCTGCCCATGTGCCTTTCCTCATGAGAGAGCTCCCATTCTCCAGGGCTCTTTCCACATTCTCTTCCACTTAATTCTCAAAATGATCTGTAAGGGGGTGAGGTTGTGAATTACCATCCACACTTCATAGAGTAGAGGATACTGAGGCAGATTAGCTTCGTGCCTTAGAGAAGTTTTTGTTGATAAAGCTGAAGCTGGCTCTTGGTCTTCTCTGGAGGAAGAATGCAAGTATGTATTGGGATTATGGATATTGATGTTAATAAGTACTGATTTTAGAAAACCCCAGGGGAGCTTCAGGGAGCTGTTCATTAATGTGTGTGTGTGTGTGGGGGGCATTATAGGGCTTCATGGGATTTTAGAAACTGTTCAAGAATTCAAAGAAGGGAGACAAAACCTCCCCCTATCTTGCTCCAGAGGTTCTCCCACATGTGAAGACAGTGCCTTAGGGGACAATGGGACTGGTGTGGGGGTGGGGTCCTTGTTGTTTTATCAAAGGAAGCCCAGCAGGCTGAATGGTGCCTTGAAATGTAAAACTCTCAGATCTTCTCCATGTACACAGGGGGCCTCTGTGACTCAGTGGTGACATCTTTATTTAGACAGATGCAAGAGTGGAATGTTTAATCAGCATTAAATGAACGGATTGAACATACTTAAGAGGTGAAAAGCAAACTGTAACAAACCTGGGCCAATTCCAAATAGGAGAGCACTTCCCCATCAATGCCCACGCCACTCATGGCGGCCTTGGTCAGCTCCTGAACAGCATGCTGCTCTGGGGAAGAGAGAGAGGGCCAAAGAACGTTAAAACTGTGTTCTGTAAGCCAGACACCTTGACTGAAGGGGCTGGGCTGGGACCAGTTAAGAAGAGAGGAAATATGGGACACGGCTCTGGGCAGCCATCCAAACTGACCAGGATTCTTTTAATATGCAGCACTCTGGCATCCAACCATTGTGCCAACATCCCTGTCGTGTTTGTGCTTCTGAATTAGCCAGAATCCTCTAGACCCGCTCTGTCTTATCCAGGATGGTAACCACTGGCCATATCAGACTATTTAAACTTAAATTAATTACAATTAAATAAAATGAGAAGTTCAGTTCCTCACTCACACTGGGCACATTAAACACTCAATGGCTACACATGCCCTCAGCATTGGACAGTGTAGGGTTAGAACATTTCCATCACTGTGAGAGAGTTCTCCTGGACAGAATGGTTCTAAAATCTTTCTAGAATCCTCTAGGCCCATTCCTAGCATCAACGTTCCTGTTTGACAGTTTCTGCGCTGACACGGCTCTCATTCTCAATAAGCTCTGACAGTGAAGAAACTGAAGGACAGGAAAAATAAGTCTATGTGGGGAATTAAAAATGTGGATGCGTGTGTCTGTATCAATAGCTGTAGATGGATAATGTATTGTTCAGCCTCTTGGATTATAAAGATGAGAGAAGAAACAAAAAACCCAAGTTGGGAGGGTCATTTCTGCTTGGGAGCTTAAGTCCAAATCTTGTAAGCCGAATTTAAATTGGTGTCTGGGTTCGGCTGTTTCTTGCCTCTGTTTGGGCTGTCTGTGGCCTCTGGGGTTGATGTGTGTGACCAGGCTTGGCCCAGTATTTCTAGCTCTTTGATGTTGATGTCTTCTCAGGCATTGTACTTGGTCTTCTAGCCCAGTATATAGACAGATCTCATTTTATTGCACTTCACAGAACTTATGTTTTTTTTAACAAATTGAAGGTTTGGAGCAACCCTGTGTTGAGTGAGTCTACTGGAGACATTTTCCCAACAGCCTGTGCTCACTCTGTGTCTCTGTGTCACATTTTGATAATGTGTGCACATATGTATGTGTGTCTATATAAATCTCATAATATACATTATATGTGTATGTACATGTATATATGTGTGTATATATAATATTATTATTTTTTCGTATGGGGATTGAACCCAGGGACTTAATCACTAAGCTATATCCCCAGCCCTTTTAAAAGAATGTTTTATTTAGATACAGGGTCTTGCTAAGTTGCTTAGGGTCTTGCTAAGTTACTGAAGGTGGCTTTGAATTTGTGATCTTCCTGCTTCAGCCTTCTGAGCTGATGGGATTACAGACATGTGCCACAGCACCTGGCTATTACTGTATAAGTTGATGATGATCTTGGATAAATTATCTTTAATGTTACTATTGTAATTGTTTTGGGGTGTCATAAATTGTGCCCATAGAAGATGATGAACTTAACAGACAAATGTGTGTGTTCTGACTGTTCCACTGACCGATTATTCCTGTTTCCTCTCTCTCCTTGGGTCTCCCTATTCCTTGAGACACAACAGTATTGAAATTATACCAATTAATAGGCTTATAATGACTTCTAAGTGTTCAAGTGAAAGGAAGAGTCACACTCTTTATTTATTTATTGTTGTTGGTACTGGGGATTGAACCTAGGGGTACTTCATACAGTAATTTTTGAATTTTGAGACAGGGTCTATATTGCTGAGTCTGGTTCTCCAATTTGTGGTCCTCCTGACTCTGCCCCCTGAGTCACTAGGATTACACTCCTGAGTCACTAGGATTACACTCCCAACTCCTCTCACTTTAAATCAAAAGCTAGGAATGGTTAAGTTTAGAGAGGAAGGCATGTCAAAACCCAAGAAAGGCTGAAAGCTAGCCTTCTTATACCAAACAGTCAAGTTGCAATTGCAAAAGAACAGTTCTTGAAGGACACTGCAAGTGCTACTCCAGGGAATGATAAGTAAGATAGCCTTATTGCTGGATCTGGAGGAGTCTCAGTGGTCTGGAGAGAAGAGCAAACCAGCCACAACATTCCCTAAGCCAAAGTAAGGCCCTAACTCTCTTCAATTCTATGAAGGCTGAGAGAGGTCAGGAAGTTGCAGAGAAACGTGAAGCTAGTGGAGGTTGGTTTATAGGCTTAAAGGAAAGAAGATGGCTTGATAATGTAATAGGGCAAGGTGAAGCAGCAAGTGGAGCATCCAGAAGATGTGGCTAAGACAATCGATGACTCTGAATAACAGGTTTGCAATGCAGACAGAGCAGCCTTTCATTGGAAGAAGATGCCATCTAGGGCTTCCATAGAGAGAAGAAGCCAATGCCGGGATACAAAGCTTCCAAGGACAGGGTGACTCTCTTATTAGAGGATAAAGCAGCTGGAGATTTTAAGATGAAGCCACTGCTCATTTGTCACTCTGAAAAATCATAAGGCCCTTAGGAGTTACACTAAATATGCTCTGCCTCTGCTCCAGAAATGGGATGTCATCTGGATGACAGCACATCTGTTTACAATAGAATTTATTGTTTTTAGCCCACCATTGAGACCTGCAGTTAAGAAAAAACAAGATTTCTTTCAAAATATTAGTGATCACTGGCAATACACCTCGTCACCAAAGAGCTCTAATACAGATGCTATTTTAGTCAGCTCTTTTACTGCTGTGACCAAAAGACCTGACAAGAACAAATAGAGGAGGAGAACTTTATTTTGGCACTCGTGGTTTAAAAGGTCTCAGTCCATGGACAGCTAACTTCATTCCTCAGGGCTTGATGTGAGGCCTAACATCATGGCAAAGGGTGTGGCAGAGGAAAGCAGCTGGGGACATTGTGTCAGCAGGCAGAGATAGCTTTGCTCAACAAAGACAAAATATAAACCCAAAAGGCACACCCCCCCAGGGACCCACCTCCTCTAGCCACCCTCTATCTGCCTAAAGTTACCACTCAATCTACTTTTCAGGACATTAATTTGCTGATTAGATGAAGGCTCTCATAACCCAATCATTTCATCTCTAAATCTTCTTGTATTGTCTCATGCATGAGCTTTTGGGTACCTTACATCAAAACCATAACAGATGTACAATGAGATTAATGCCATCTTCATGCCCAACACAACATTAAATTGGAAAACATTCTGGAAAGGATTTACCATTCTAGATGCCACTAAGAACATTCATGTTTCATGGTAAGAGGTCAAAAGAGCAACATTAACAGGAGTTTGCAAGAAGTTGATTCCAACCCTATGGATGACCTTGAGGAGTTCAAGACTTCAATGTACAAAGACACTGCAGATGGGGTAGAAATAACAAGAGGGCTAGAATGGGAACTTCAAAGAGAACTGCAGCCTGAAGATGTCACTGAATTATCACAATCTCATGACAGAACTTTAATGAATAAGGAGTTTCTTCTTAAAGACGAGCAAAGTGGCTTCTTGATAGAAACCTGCACTTGGTGAAAACGCTGTGTGCATTGCTCAGACGAGAACAGATCCAGAATGTCACAACGACTTAGTGAGGAAGAGGCAGCAAGGGGAGGACTGACTCCACATTCAAAAGAGATTCTACTGTGGGCGAATGCTATCAAATAGCGTCATAGGCTACAGCCTACTCTTCTGTGAAAGGGTCAGTCGATGTGGCAAACTTCATGGCCATCTGGTTTTAAAAAGCCACCACAGCCACTTCAACCTTTAGCATCACCACCACCACCTTGATCAACCAGTAGCCCTCAAAACGGAGGCAAGACTCTTCACCAGAAATGAGATTACATCTGGCTGAAGGCTCAAAAGATTGTTAGCATTTCTTCATTAGGTATGCTTTTTGTTTTTTAAGACATAACGTTCTTTCATACTTCATAGACTATAGTAGATTGTAAACATAACTAATATTCTCTGGGAACCAAAGCTTCATGTAGCTCACTTTATTGTGATATTTGCTCTACTGTGGTGGTCTGGAACTGAACCTGCAACATGTCTGAGATACACCTGTATCGTACAACCCATGCTTACTTTGTGCTCTGGCTTCATGTACCAGTGCGCCTCTATCTGGTCAGTTTGGCATCTGGAACTGAATGATTTCTTTGGCAAAACCCTCTTCAGCTGCACTGATAAACAAAACTATTTGGCACAGAATTTCCCAGAGAAGTCATCTGGGTTCTTTCATTTTAGATAGCTGCAGCATTCTTTTCTTTTGTTGGGGGGAGGTGGAGGCTATTGGGAATTGAACTCAGGGGCACTCAACCACTGAGCCACATCCCCAGTCCTATTTTGTATTTTATTTAGAAACAGGGTTTCACTGAGTTGCTTAGCACCTCGCTTTTGCTGAGGCTGGCTTCAAACTTGTGATCCTCCTGCCTCAGCCTCCCAAGCTGCTGGGATTACAGGCATGCACCACTGCACTCGGCGAGCATTTCTTGATATTTATTTAACACTGGCTTGCAAAGCATTTCACCCTGGAAACTGAATTTTAAATACTCTGCAAAGATATTCTAGACACTCTAGACAATACCTGCCAAATACTATCAATGATTAAAGTAATCATCCTGGGGAAGCAATATATTAAATAATCATAACAGTAATAACAACATTTAACAACAATACTAAATGTACATAGAAGTCTGGAGTTCACACACAAAGTTTTCTCTGGATAATTTAAAAAAAATAGCTTTCATGGAGAAATCAATCCCATGTTATCATTGCCAGTCCTAATATTTTAGCAAAAATGGCAATATTCCAAGACTCATCACAAACCTTGTTTGATGAATTTGACTCCAAATTACTTTTGGCCATTAAAAAAAAAATCAAATTCATCCTCAAAGGACAAATATTTGGAAAACCTGTGGAGAGTTACATGAAACTCATATTTCTGAAAAAAGAAGCTGCCCCCTGCAGCCTGCTGAAGTTAGTGTTTAAAAAGTAGTACACTCAGTTGGATCTATGGCCTTAGGTATATTAGTAAAAAACTTGTTTTAAACAAATCTAACAGCAATGCTTCAGCTCTCTATTTAATTGGGGGAAGAAGTAGGGAAAAGAGAGGACTTTGATCTTCAGATGGTTTGTGTGTAGCAGAAACCTGGAGAACAGAAAAACTCATCTTTCCCATTTGAAGTCCTTGCCAGAAAGTGAAGTGTAGAGAGGGTGGGTTGGTTTATTCATTTGCTCTTTTTTATTCACTCAATTATTCAAGAAATGTTTATTGAGAGCCTAATAGGCTCAGGCACTTTTCCATGTACAGGGGAAAGGCCAGTGAATAAGACAGGAACTGTCTGTCTCTGCTTTCATTCTTCGTAAGAATCAGCTAACCACAGTAATAAAAATCCAGTTTGCTAATTGACACCTCTGGGGAGCAAAGCAGAGGATTTAAATTTTAACAAGTTGACAAAGATATCTAAATGCATATATCCTATACAGACCTGCTTCAGTTTATCAACTGAACGAAACTAGGAATTGTAGATAAGGTTCTTGAAGCTAAGCCAAACCTCCCCTTTTTCTTTTTTCCCAAAATGAACTTGACAATGTCAGAACATTTTCTGAAATAGCTGTAAGAAAACCACTTACATAATGCTTACTAGGAGCCAGACACTGTTCTAAAGACTTTATATATTTTAACTCACTTAATCTTCACAATAACTCTTTAAGGTAGATAATATTATTCCTGCTTTAAAAGAGAGAAAGCTGAGATACAGAACTAAGGTTCTATAAAGGACAAAGTCATTGGCCAGTAAATGGTGGAACCCAAATCAGAAACTAGGCAATTTGGCTCTGTAGTCTATACTTAGCCACTGCACCTACTGCCTCTTCCTTAAACACTGTGTCTGTGCACACATTATGATAGGATGTTGGTGACAGAATCTTTTTATTTCAAGTTCTGTGCCCACAAGTGACTCGGCATGCATACAGCATGTGCTTCCAGGGCAGGGTCCTGAATTACCATTATATCTGTGTCACCTAACAGGGACTAGCACAAAACAGATGCTTAAAAAATATTTTTTGAACTGCTGATACATTTGATCAATTCATATCGCGGATATAAAACAGTCCTATTTGGGGGGATAAAAAATACCTTTTTATTCCCTGGAGCTCTTATTTTACGTGTGATCTTGAAGAACACGACAGACCCTGTGCAAAGTCATCAGCCTTACCTGCAAGTGCAACCAAGTGTGGCAGGCAGAATCTGTTTGCCAAGGCAATTAGTTCCAGCGGATCCAGGTCCAAGTTAGGTGACAACTGCTTGGTATAGAGATAATCCAATACAGCTTGCATTGACATCTTGTTTATGTTTGGGAGATGTACCTGAAATGTTACAGGAAACACTCAATTCTGCAGGAGAAATCAGGGAGTAGGCTCATTTTCAGGCTATGTGCTTATAAATATCCCAACTGTGGGATTCGATACTGCCAAGTCTCAGATACCTGCTTTGAGGCTGTGCGTAGAAATCATTCAGTATTTATGGCTTTGAACATAACGGTTTGATTTGTGGTTGACAAAAGAGTGGAGCTACTTGACAAAGTCTGACTTGGAATTTTTAAATGGCTATTCAGATGTATAAATCAGACAAATGGGCTGAAAACGTGTGGTGACATTATGGGCCCTCCTTGGCAGGTACTGATAATACTCTACTGTGGAAGAAAGAAACCTAGAAACACGACAGATGTTGGGTGGGAGGGGGGCGCAAGCCATACTGTTGCTGACACAGGAGAGCGCCTGCTCTCTAAGATGTTGAGAGAGATGACAACCATCCCGGTTGCCACAGTGACTGGCTTGATTCTGATGTTCTATCCATACGTGTTAGCGCCATATATATGCTTTATTATTTTTTCCTACAACCACCTGGATTCAGAACTACTGGAACATTATTAGGTCTCAGTTGATTTGGAAAATCCAAAGGAATCCCTGCTGGGACATCTATGGGGAGTGGCTGATGGGGTCTGATGTACAGTCCTCTTGTCAAGATATCTCGAGGACCTGGAATTGTCCATATAAATGCATGCTGGAGTTTGCTGCCTGGAGGTTCAGTTTGAGACAGGTGGGCAAGGATGGAGAGGGATATACCCTCTTAAGCAGCTACTCTTTATTCCAGGTCCCCAACCAACTCCATGAGACAGACCCTGGCATGGTACATAGTAGTGCCACTAGCTTTTCCTACTGGAATGTTGATGATTACAAAAATTAACCTTTCTAGAAGGCCTCCTATACACCAGTCATTTTGCTAAGCTTTCTACATAAACCATCCAATTTGCTTTTTATCTCCACTCTAGGAGGAAGAGACATTATTTTTTACCAGTTTACAGAAAAGGAAACTGAGGTTCAGGGAGGTTAAAGCTTAGGTCCAAGGTCACAGAGCTATTAAGTAGGGACTGGGATTTAAACTTAGGAGTATCATTCTTCTAAAGACTGTTTTTCTAATTACTGTGCAGTACTTGAAGCCATTAACAGCAAGGAAGTAAAGGTTTGGGTTATAGAGCAATAATGTGCTGCATTTCACTAATAGTTTTTAAGAATTACATTTCTAATTTAAAAGGATAACAGTTATAAATTTCCTAATTCTGGTACTTAAACCTGTAGACAGTATATAAAGATATAAAGATCTATATCTAAATATGATTACATCCATATAAAACATGATTGTATCTATATAGTACACATAACTGCACCTCCCCCATATATATTTATTTCCCTCTCCACACACACACACACACACACACACATCTTCCGCATTCTACAAGGAGCTCATGGCCTATGGTTCCAGAATTAAGTCATAAAAACTTCCCATATTATTCTCCTTTGCAGTCACCAACCACCTCAGAGGGAGCATATATTTTCAGCAGGTAGAGTCATTCTTTATTATATTATATGGAAGGACCAGAAAAATTCTTGGAAATATTAAGAAATCTACACTCCCCTTTGAGACACAGCCAGTGAAAACCATATTTATGATTCCATAAATAAGCTTCATGGGTCATTATAATCAAGTTTCTTTCTTTGTGGTTTTTTTTTTTTTTTTGTTACCGGGGATTGAACCCAGGGGTGCTTAACCACTGAGCCACATCCTCAGCTCATTGATATTTATATTTTATATATTATATTTATATTTTATTTATATTTTATTTATATTTAGAGATAGGGTCTCACTAAGTTGCTTAGGACCTTGCTAAGTTGCTGAGGCTGGATTTGAACTCGTGATCTTCCTGAGTCAGTCTCCCTAGCAACTGGGATTACAGGTGTGCACTATTGTGCCCAGCTCATTTCAAGTTTCTAGAACATCATATATAATAGAATTTGATTAATAAAAACTCTTATTGACATTATTATCTTAAAGCCATACACATACTGGGCCGTGTGAAATATTCAGATGTAGGAATGTTAGTTATCCCTCTCCTCTACCAGTTGCACCTGAATATAAATATCAATTGCCATTTGAGTGAGTCTAATACTGGCTGTACTTGTGTGTATGCTTACATACACATGTATTGATATGCACATGCATTTGTCTTATACAGATAATGAAGTTCCTTATGGGTGCTCGCACAAACTTGTTTCTGTGTATATGTAAACAGCAAAATTTCATTACTCTAGAATGATGTTTGGATTAGTGGTTTTCTAGATATTTGAAGATTAAGTTGTGAAGCTTTTAAGATTTGAATTTTTTGTAATCAAAGTATCCATATTTTACAAAGTGCTAAGTGCCATATTACTAATTGTTAATACAAGCTGCAGAGCTTCTGCTCGCTCATGTACAGGGACATCTGTTGCCTCTGAAAAGAATGCCTGAAGGGACAGGGTAAGAGTCTGGGGCAGGCCCAGGAATATGCTACTAAAATACTGTGCAATCTTTGATAAATCACTTACCCTCTCTGACTTTCAGTTTCCTCATCTCATATGGGAGGAATCTGGGATAGATTTTTAAAAAGTTTCTTCTTTATTGACACTCAGTTTTGAAAATATTTAAATTGTCTTAACACTGTTTGCTAAGACTGTGTTCTCTAAATCATGCCTTAAAGAAAAAAAATGCCCATTGGAAATACAAATATGAAAATGGACATCTTAAGTTAAAAGACGTTATTTTGGGCCACAGGAGATGACAGATTCCAGTGAGCAGCACTGCCCCACTCCTGCCTGTGTCCTCTGAGTGTTCTGATGTTTATAATCACCCATGACCTGCTGTTTCCTTTTTGCTTAATATGACGTTAACAAGTTTTGAAGTGATGATTCTTTTTGGCAAATAATGTTAGGGACCCTTAGAAATAACCATCAAATGAAAATAAAAACACTTTCAGAACGTGCATTTTTTTCCCCCTCTACTGGTTGATTTTTTAAAAACAAAGCCTGTTCTGTGACGTCCATATTTATAATTAATTGTGTAACAACCTTTGATAGCACTTTAAAAATAATATACATAAAGCTACAGAAGAAATTGAATACAAAGTTTTACATCCTACCGGCTGAATGTTGCTTAAAGAAAAAAAAATGAGTAATGAGGGGGCTGGGATTGTGGCTCAATGGTAGAGTGCTCGCCTTGCATGGAGGAGACCCTGGGTTCGATCCTCAGCACCACAGAAAAATAAATAAATAAATAAAGGTTTTATGTCCATCTACAACTAAAAATTTTTAAAAAGTGAGTAATGAAAGAGAACATGCCATCCTAAACAATGTTGCATATTCTAGTTTAGTTGGTTTAAAATTTTAATTGTGAAGATTAGCTCAGACCATTAGGCTTATAATTAGAGATAGTCTCATACAGAATGAGAAAGCATTCTAGATCTAGAGCACTGCTTACTACAAGCCGGGCATGCATTTTTAATGAACCACTTGCTGAGTACCTCGGGGGAGAGAATTATGCTTACTGCTACATTAAAAGTAATGAGAAAAGATCTATGTAAGATATAGTGTTCTTGAATATTAAAGGACAAAAATGTTAAAGCAACAACAGGCATAATTCCTTCTGGATATGCATGTGCATTCTATTAATTCTCCCCCCTCTCACCAAATAGGCTGAACTTCATGGGGGAAGTCAGATTATCCCAAGACAATCAACAGTTAAATTATGGCCTAGGAAAACCAAATCCCAAGTGTGAAAACCAAGCCCCAGTGTGAAGACAGGAGAAATCAATTGTGGGGTATTTACAAGCCTTTGACCAAGTGCCTCTTCCCTTCACCTAGGACCACCATCATCTTGCTTTCTTAGTTTAGAAAGGGAACTGGGGGCATTTTCACTTATGTCTCTCAGGCACAAAGACCTTCGCCCCCTCATGGAAAGAATTTAACAAGAATACTCTGGGATAACAGTCTCTGACATTTGTTGAGCATTTACACGTTCTAGGTGTCACATTTGAGACATTACACATGCATTCTCTTACTTTATTTACACTCTGAAGAAGGTTCTCTTTTCATCCCCATTTTATAGATGGAGGAAACAGGTTTAGAGAAGGTTGGTCACTTGCCCAAGGTCAAACTGGGACTAGAGTTCATAACTACTAAATGATAGTGTATGCTGGAAATAAAAGAAAGGGGGCAGGAAAGGGTGGAAATGGGTTTCTAGTGTACTGGCTAATGGAATTTTGGCGGACTTTTGGTGACTTGGTTCCATGGCCTTTATTTTTTGAGCTGGTTTCAATCTACACATACAGATTGACCTCAGCTGCTGTTCTCAGAGTTAAGTGACCTGATCTTTCCGGAGGGTGTGCTAAGCAGGTGGCCACCTCTAGTGCAGCTATTAACTACCCTGTAATATGTGTGTGTTCACACTTGCTGCCAAGGTTTTTGTTTTGGTCACCTCTCCTGCACATTCTAATCTGGAGAAGATTATAGTCCATTCTGTGAAGGGATAAAGGGGATTAGCATTCGTGAGGTCAGCTCAGACAGTGTCCCTTTGTGCCTGGGTTCCTGACCTTGATCAACTTTTCTCTGCTCAGTTAACAGCAGGCTCTCTGCTGCACAATCAGCACACATTTGAGTGAGCTAGGAAAATAAGGGGAGCAGGCCTCTGAGCTCTTTATTTCTGGAGATTACTGAAGTCAGTAAAATGCCAATTGGATGAGGTTTCACTAATTGGTGCCCCCCCCCCCCGAATTTTTCTTTGAAGTAAAGAATACCATCATCATCACAATAAGACTGGTGGCAGCTGCCCTTTGCTTATGCAGCTTAGGAAGTGCTTTGCAAGGGTTGATTCTCACACCTCACAACCACAGTATGTTGTTATTATTGAAAGACTGAGCTCAGAAAGGTTCTAAGTCACTTTTCCGAGGCCACCTAGCTTATAAGTGAAAGAGTTATGATTTGAGCCCTGTAGTCCCTTAATGATGCAGGCTTCATCACACAGCAGTAAGCTTTTTGTTGGTTCTGGGGATTGAACCCATGGCCTTGTGCATGCAAAACAAGCACTCTACCAACTGAGCCATATCCCCACCCCCACACTGCAGCAATCTTGGTAAAAGGCTCACACGTTTGATCCCTCAGGAGAGACTTGGATTAGTTACAAGTGAACACCTTCTGATTTATAAAGGCTGGTAGGTACTCAGAGGAAGGTAGTGAGACAACTCTGATGTCTTTTTCTCTTTTTCCCAAACAGCAGATGGTGGTTTAGGAGCAGCTGCAGTTTGTTCTGGAAGCAGGAGTGTGGCCTAGTGACCTTCTCAGGCCCAGCCATCCTAGGCTTGTGATTCTAGGATTCTGTTCCCTACTTGGGGATGCAAATGCAGGCTCCTGGGTCATAATGGGAGTGCTCAGATTTCTCCTGTGAGCACCCTTTTGGAAAAGTTAGCTATTGTTTTCTGTGTTTCTTCTGAAAGTTTGGAGATGTGCTGAGATAAACAAAAGAAGTCTCTTAGGACAATAAACTTGATGGGGTGTCCCCATGTTGTTTTTTTTTTTTTTAAAGATTCTAAAAAATAATTGCAAAACTCAACAAAAATGCTTGTTCATTCTGGACTAAAGTTGAATGGAATCCCCCCGCCCCCAACACACACACAAAGGGATCTATAAAAGAATAAAGACAGCATTTCTGAAATATTGCTTGCTTTGTTCTAAGAATGTCCTTCTTTTGGTGCTATATGATCCAGCTGCTTCCACTAGACCTATGAACTCTGAGAAGTGGATTCATTCAGAGGAATGACTGTTTGCTACAATGCTGTTTCCCTACAGTTGACAAACCCTCCTACCCCTTCTGCAAGGGCAGAGAAGGAAGGAAAGAGCTGTGGAGTGCTGTAGGTTACGGCCACTTCATTCCTTACCTGCAGGCAAGGAGCCTGAGGCCCAGGTTGAGGTTTCATTCCTTACCTGCAGGCAAGGAGCCTGAGGCCCAAGTTGAGGTTTCTTAAGGTCCCCCGGCTGGTTAAGGGCAGAACAGGACCTGGGACTTACTTAACTGAAGAACTCCTCACTTTCCTGAACTTCTAGACATCAGGTTCTGCCCCTCTTAATACTTGGTTTTGATAGTACTTTGGTGACATTTGTTAAAAAGGAACAGTTGACCATGTCTTCACTGTCAAGGACAGGTGTGAGGATGAAAGGTTGAATTGCACGTGTAGGTGCTCGAACATGAGATGAATCACCCACAGGACCTCCTGACTGTAGAATTAGAAAAGGGTGGCCTCACCCTGTCTATTTCACGGAAGCAGTTAAAGACTGAAGTCATCTGGCTACAACATTTTAGATAAGCACACGTGCACACACACTCACAAGACACCACTTGTCCTGGAGGAAGGCACATACCTCACTGTTGGCGCTTTCCACAAACGAACCCCCAAACATGGCAGCCATCCACTCACAGCTACAGATAAGCAATGGCTTGTGGGCACTGATGGCTCCATCATCCAAGGTAAAGGTCACATCTGCCAAAGGATGGAGGGAACACAATGATGAGCTGGCTCTGCCCAAAGCTCAGAATCTTCTGTTCCAACCATGTTCACCAACCGGTATCCCTCTCGCTGGCTCTTCTGTGGGTACTCACTGATTTCACGTCAACCTCCACTTTTGGCACACCCAATTTTCACAACAAGGAACAAGCATTTAAAATAACATACAAGGTCACGACACAGATTTTCTGAACCATATAGTAACAAAAAAGGAAAGGGATATTTTCCCTCCTCCTCCTCATGAAAAACTTCAAACATATACAACAAGGCAAAGAATAATATAAGTTGAGTATTCCTTGAACTAGAATGTTTGGGAGGATATGTGTTTCAGATTTTGGATTTGTTCAGGTTTTGGGATATCTGAATATATATAGTGAATATCCTGATGATGGAACCCAAGTTTGAATACAAAATTCATATGTTTCATATATGCCTTATGTGCATAATCTGAAAGTAATTTTTTACAATATTTTTAGTAGCCCTGCATTTTGACTGTGACTTGTCATGTGGGGGACAGATATGGAACTGTCCACTTTGTCGGCAATCAAGCAGTTGAAATCTTGAAGCATTTCAGATTTTGGATTTTCAGGTTAGGGTTGTTCAACCTGTACAACAATCACTCATTTACCTATTGTTAACATCTTGCCACGTTTATTTTTTTCTTAACAGATAATGATACTTCATTCCTAACCACTTTATCATGAATATTCTAAAAATAAGAACATTCTCCTAAAAAAATCTCATTATTCCACCTAAGAAAATTAAAAATAATTTCTTGATGTCATCCACTGTCTAGTTCATATTCAAATTTCTTTAATTATCCCTAAGTTGTTTTTCATAATTTTTTAAAAATGGGAGCCTCCTAGTGAGTCTCCCACCCCTCATTGAGTTTTGTCTCTGCAGTAAGGGGAGGGTGATTCAATCAACTTTAGTTTAACTTACTGTAGGTCTGTGGCACGTTCTTTCATTACCTTTTAAGGCTGTTTATACACCACAATGACCAGTGTTTGGAGTAAATATTATTCATAAGCTTTAAAGTTAATTAAAAGACTCAGTGACCACTTGCTAAATGGGTAGGACCATGGCAGGGGCTAGGAAGAATAGACAAAAATAGAGGTATCCATATAAATAGAATTCAGGAAGTCAACCTTTTCCAATGAAATGCATACCCACCCACACCCACATACACCCAGAGGTCAATTTTAGAACAATCAGCATAAATATCAAAGACAAAGCAAGGTCAGGAAAACTACAGAATAGCATGAGGGCAGAGAAGGAGGGAGATGGAACAGATGAGACACCCCTCATAGGAAGGCAAGGACCACCAAACTCAGGTGCAGGAAGGAATTCAGTGGGCTTAGGACCAAAGATCACTACTTAAAGTCAAGGATCCCCAGCACTACATAAAAATAAATAAATAAAATGAAGGTATTGTGTCCATGTACAACTGAAAAAAAAAAAAAAGACTTGGTCAAGGAACAGATGCTGATAGGGTACTGCAAGCATCAAGCTGGCTAGAGACAGGCTCAGGGACATCTGATTGACCCCGAAGAGCAGCGTGGTGCCATAGCAGTTTAGGAAACAGATTTCTTTAACGAAAAAAGGGTTCCAGTACCCCTCCTACCATTTATTGCCTGTGTCATCATGTGTGAATTACCTAACCTCTCTGTTCCTTGGTTTTCCCAATTGCAAAATAGGGAATAACCAATAAGACTGATGAGAATTAAATAAGTTAATACCTTCAGCTTAGAAACGTACATGGAAAAAAAATAAGCACTTGTAAATGTTAATTACGGTTAACCTTTCCTTCTCTTAGTTTGGCTAATGTTTGATAAAACACCACCAAAGGTGTACATGGCTCCACCAGGGGACCTGCTCACCTGAGAATGTCCCCTTGCTGAGGCACTCTTTTATCCGGTTGGCTTTCCTGACGTGAAAGGCTTTCGTAATCTCCTGGTTCATAAAGGCTTCCTTGTTCATGATGTTTTCCACCATCATCCTCAAATCAAACATCTCGAGGACCTCTGCAATCTGAGCCAGCCCCACCAAATCCTTTTCCTTCTCATCCAGTTGACCTGTATAAAGAAACTGGAGCAGGGTCCGGAAAGGGCCCGGCTGGACTGACGAGTCCATCCTGACCACAGTCACGGGGCCCACCCGCTTTGAAATGGGATTGACCTGCATTTCTTTGTGCATGCCAATGAACCCTTTGCTCCAGCCTGACAAAGGCTGCATCTCAGTAATGGAGCCCTCAGCTTCCAGCCCCGGAGTCTCCAACAGGTTCTTGCTTGGAGACATCCCCTGATCGGCCTGAGGCCTCCTCGGGGCACCTTCTTCCCCTTCCTCATCTGCATCAAGACTCAGCGTCCAGCCCTGAAGAGGCCTGCTCTGCATCTCTTTCTCACAAACTCCTTCACCCCAATTTGGGGATTCTTCACATTCCATTAAAAAAAGATCATAAAATTTGGAAGAAGAGGTAGCAAGGTAAATTCGATGTGCAAAGATGTGCTCCTCGTCCTGAAGGATGAACAGGACATCAGCACACAGTGGATTATCCAGTAAACAGGCAGCTTCATTAGTCCCCATGGAAGGACACTCTGGGATGTTGATGACTGGTGGAGGGGCTTTGGGAGGTAGGAAGGGTGCCTGAAGTAAAGGTTTCTGGACTTTTTTTAAGTGGGACTTCCAGAACTGCAGGTGCCGGCGGGAAATCAGCGCTGCACGAATGGCATTGTCAAATACATCCTTGATTCCAAACCGGTCAAATACACTGGTCTCATAGTATGGTATACCAAGTTCCTTTGCAACCTCTCGACCTTTTTCTGGGGGCAAAATATCCCCTCTCTTTATGGGCCTGAAATAGAATATTTTTAAAAATTATAATCAGCCTTATTTTAGAGAAAAATAGTCACCAGTGTTTACCTAAGCACCTAATTTAATTATACATCTAAAAATCTATTCAAGCTTTAATAAGGATCTCGAAAAATCAACTACTAAACACAAGCCTTTCAAACGTAAAAGATTTATGACTACAGACAAAAATGGTTTCAGTAGTAAGAGCAGTAACTATTGTCTTTTTACTAGCTATTTGTTCTTGGGCAAATTATTTAACCTCATTAAGCCATAAAACAGGTATAATGATAATGATTATCCATATCTTTAAAAAACTAATGAAAAGTTTTAATGAGATAATATGTTAAATATAGTACTTGGTCCACAGTAAAACCTCCAAATGTTACCATCATTATCGCTACCATCATCATCTTTATCACTTTCTTCTTCATCATCATCATCGTATGCTTAAAATTAGCTTTATAACTTTAAAATGCATCCATTTAAATTTTTTATCTGAGCCTTACAATAACTCTATCAGGTATTATTTTTGTTCTATATTCTGAGAAAAACTGAGGCAGGAAGTTTAAAAGGTTTACATAAGGTCATATTTGCAAATTGTTGACAGGTCTCTACTAAGCCATGAGAGTCTAGACTCTCCTACTCCAGGTAAATGGTCCACATCAACAGCTATTAAGTCTACTGGATTCATATATCTTCTTTCCTATGTTTCTCCTTCTCTTTTCATCCATTCCCTTCATCAGGCCCTTACTATTTTTTGCTTGGACTGGTCCATTAGCCTCTTAATTGGTCTTCAAAATTTTCAATTTTAGCTCACAGTCCTCCTTGCTGCAAGAGCAGTCCTTAAATAACAAAGTGGGGCTCAGCAGCACTTCTGTGTTCATTTCCTATAATTCCACAAAGCTCATGGAATAAAGTCCACACCCCTTAGTCCGGCACACAAGGCCCATTTCCAATCTAATCAAACCCAGAAGGCCAATATACAAAAAGTATAGCCACGCAGTTATGGCATAATCATGTGAAGGAACCAACAGATTCCAGAACACAGATAAGAGGTGAGTTGGTGTTACAACTATCTAAAAACACCTTCTTGATTTGGGGACATGTTTTTAGGAACCAATCTTCTAAATAAATATTTGGTCTTTAACACCAAAGGTAATATATATGACAGGTCCTGGTCTCAGGAGAGAAAACTGATAATAGGTGGAATTTGGATTTGGAAACCTGGGTGGATAAAGATGGAAAATCATAGGGTGTTGTCAAAGGCAGAAGGGAAGTGCAGAAAAGATTGAATTTCAAGGCTTGTTCCTGCTGGCATTGTGTGTTCTTTGTTCCTAAGGCTGACTTGAAATTTGCTAATATGAAATTCTCCAGACATTGCTCAAATGCCACCTCCTTCTCGGAATTGCTCTACAGAAGGACTGTCTTCTCTGCCGTTCTCTGTAGCTCTGCGACCCTCTCCTCCAGTCTTCCACATACCCATGTGGCTCTTAATATTCATTTCCTAGTCCATGCATTTATGAACATAGGGACTGTGAAAAGACTGAATATAAAGTGTTTTCAGAAATGTTATCCAAAATGTACCTAGGGCATCAGAAATTATCTAAAGAACATCATCTGCTTTCATTGTAAGAGTACATAGTGTTGCACTCACATAAAATTTTGTGACAAGCCTATTAAGGCAAACATCAAAGCGAGGTATTAATATCAAAATGTTTTGAAAAGCTTTGCTCTCCAGCAAAAAAATAAAAATAAAATAAAATAAAAAACAACCATAAACATGAAAAAGAAGATACGAAGGTACAAAGGGAATTTGAGGGGGAACATGTTTCAAAAAACTTATTTATCCCCAAAGTTAGAATCCACATAATGGTAACATTATGGAGGTTTTACTGTGGACCAAGTACTATACTTAACATATTATCTCAAATACTCATTCAAGTGGATTTATAGAAAATTGTGACACTTTGAAAACACAAGTAAGGACTTCTAGAGACATTTAAAAAATAGTGTTTGCTTTTTTTTCCCCCTGCAATTAACTATAGGTTGAAATGATTTTTAAGAATTGGATACTGTTCTTTTGGGATATGTTCTCTCAGGTTGGACTAAGGGGTATTAGGGAAGTTAAGAGCACTTGGAAGGGCATATCTCTATGAACCCGATATTCCCTGGGGTCAAAAATTATGGCTGATCATTTTGAGCCTTAATTAATTTTATGTCATTATTGACATTATTATGGGCAACTAACATTTTGGATAAAACTTCATACATTTGAAAGCACTCCTACATGAACAATTTCATATTCAGAGAAGTCAATTCAAGCACTGGTCAACCATTTTACTAAAACATGGCTCCAACATAAGAGATGATGCTCTGAGCATGAGAAGGATGTCAGGCACAGCCCTTCATGCTGGACAGGCTGACTTACAGTGTATGACTGATCGAATGGGATCCCAGAACCAGAATAGAATGCTAGGCTCAGAGACACCTGCTACCTCCAACTCTTATTTTGTGCCCTGAAACCCCGAGCATTGGCTTACCTGGCTAATGGGCGTCTGGCTCGATTAACAGCCTCCAGATCGGCATAGCGGAGATCAAGCTGGCAGCCAACAAGGACAACAGGTGTGCGAGGGCAAAAATGCTTGATTTCTTGATACCACATGGTTTTCACATGATTTAGGGAATTGGGATTAGCAATTGAAAAACAGAGGACCACAACATCAGACCTAAAAAGGAAATCACAGAAGAAGCTCGTATTGCCTTTTAACTTTTTTTCTTTTACCACTAATCTAATGCCATGTCATGTCACAGTTAAAAAAAAAAAAGGCCAGATATTAAAAGATATTAAAACATATCTCTAAGTCATGCAAACAGCCTGATAAGCCCCCACATTCCAGCACCAACACAGCCTGGTAGTCCATTTTCATCTCGCACTGCAGAATGCTTATGCACCGAGAAGTTCCCAATGACGTTTATTTTCCGGTAGAGACGGTTACCCCAACTTAACTCAGTCCTGGAGCCATAACATGCTGAACTATTTCTGTTCACAAGAAATAGTTTCAAGATAAAAGAAAACAATAAAAACTACCTTTTACCAGTTTGAAACATAAAGGTGACGATGACTTGACCCAATGAGATAAAGCAAACAGTTTAAACACTGCCGAAAATGTCACAAGTATTTGCTGCTCAGGGTCAGCAAATACACAGAAGGCTTTCTGCCCTTCTTCTCACTTAGGCACACATGTAGAGAGCACAACCACTTATCTGTTTCCAAAAAAGAAAAATCCTGAACTTGCAGGAATCTTGACTTTTTAAAAAAACTAGGTATAAGGCACAGTATTTAACATACAGCTCAACAAGAATTAGACGGAGGGCTAATAAGGTGAGAAAATATTGGAATTAGATTTTTCAAATGTTATACATGATACATAGCAGGTATACAGGGAAAAGGAAAACTGGTTTATAGTGAACTCTGACATGGACCTTCTATTTTCACATAATAACTTACCATTCTAGAAGGCAAAGAACCATTTTATAAAACAGCTGTTCAAATATTGTTTGATGGATATCTGCTAAATAGGAATTATAAACCATCATTCCAGGTTAAAATATGCTCAATAATGACTTTCAAAACAGTGAGGCAGAAGAATATAAAAAAACAGAAACAGCTGTGTGAATGGATTCAAGACTATCTTACAGCTAAGTTCAGAAATAAACTCTTCTAATTTTATTAGATGTTAATTTATTGCCTTTATTGTTTATGTAATGAGAAGAATCAAGTCAATGAATCAAAACACCTTCTTTTTAAATCATTAATGAGCTTTCCCCCCTACATATCAATGAGGACAAACAAATATATGCAGGCGACCATAAAATTTCTAAAAATAATCATTTGCAATGCAGAAAACTGCAGGGTGCTTACATTAAACATAATTCACAAGTTGAGTCTTTAAGTTATATCCAAGAAAAATTGCACCAGACCATAGCAAATAGAAGGGAAAGTCCTAAATTTAAAATATTTTGAATTCTAAAAGAAAACCCAGGACTCCCAGTAGATGAATGTATTAGTCTGCAGGGTTAGAATCTTCTTGAAATAAAGATATTATCAAAGATTCTTGGGTGCTGAAATAATATGTGTAAAAATATGCACAAATATATAAATGAAAGGGAAGCATGTCTTGTCTTTGGGATTCTGATTTAGTTTGTGGAATATTCTGCGCTCAGTCTTACTTCCAATCAGCATAAATAACAGTACCCAGTAAAGCCAAGAATGCTTTGAATTTTACATTTTTTTACAGGCTGAGTTTTCTATTATGCATAATCCTATTTATATCGGGTATCTGATGAAATTCTGCTATAAGCTTTGTCCTGATCATAAAATAAAGCCACCATGAATTTTGGCACAGTGAGAATAATATGACAATATGTGAGGTTCAATATCATAGAGAAAGAACTGAGGGAATATATCCTCTACCTAAATGTGGAATAGTATGCATATATATAAAATTATTCTAATTGGTGCCTTCTATTTCCATATTAAGGCACATGACTGTAAAGAACATCATTCTCCAGAGCTTAATTTGTATGACAGACATGTAGCTAAATGTCAATTCTGTTATCTAATTTTATGATACAGCATAAGTCAGAGCTAGCTTGGTTGCCAAGGTTACTGTGATAACACTCACGCCATTGAGCACATAGGAGTCACCGTCCAGATGACCTGTTAGCAAGTACGGACAGGACCTTGGGGGCTGGAAAAAATGGAATTCTGTGATGACAGCAGCACAATACCATCACACAATACAGGTCCGGAGGGCTCAGCTTCTAACTATGTCACATCAATATCTAAATGCATGAAATGCTGTGGGAAAGCTGGAAAAACAATTTAATGTTCCGTAAATATTTTGCCTCAAAATGATGACAGTTGAGGAAAAGAGGCTGCACTGAGAACAATACTATCTCTGAAGCTAAAGTAACTTATTGAGCCAAAATCCTATTTGTATTTTGGAACAAAGTTTTTCTTTTTCCTTTTGTATTGTCATTTAGTTGTTACTAGAATCCATCTCCATTATTTTACATTGAAAGAAGTTAAAAATAAGATCTCATTTTAACTATCAACTTGCTTAAGTGTCTTTTGTTTAACCTGCATTGCTCTGAACACAAATGCAAGAAAATTGGATGTTTGGCCCACACAGAATAATTGTTTTTAAGGTTTGCCATGTGAACACTGTATCCTAACTCTGATTTCTACCTAAAGGCCTAGCATCGGTGAACATCCAGATCAAGGTGTCCCTACTGGTGAATTTCTCTTTCCTCCACCCCAACATGGCTTCCTAATTTGTAACCTATCAGTATCCTCTGTGATAGAAACACCTATGCAAGCAAATGACTATTTTGAGAATGCCATTTATTCTCTCTAGATTTTGAGGCCGTTTTCTATCTTATCAAAGAAGGCACAAGACCTGTGGCTAAGAATATCTCCAGCTTTAGGCAGAAGTCCAAGGAACCAGAGATATTAAATAACTTTTAATCAAAACATTCATTCCTGTGTGGAGGCTGTTCAATGTCTGACATAAGCCTGTGTTTAAAAATGCCATTCCAATGAAGATAAAAAGAAAAGAGCCAAGTTGTAGCTTTTCTATTTTCATGGCTCTGTTACTTTATTTTACTTTAAAGAGTGAATTTAAAAATAATTGGTTGGGGGGGGTATGATGAAGACATTTTTTACATATCAATAAGGCAGTGGAAGTAGTCTAGAAATGACCTCAGAGGGGGTCCTATTTCAGCTGTAAAAAGAACCTGATAGGATTTAAATGGAATCCTCCAGCTATGTGGAGTAGAAAGCACAAGAATTTGAGAATGCAGAGGGGCAGAGCACAGGGTAAATGAGACTCTAAACCCCAGGACATGAATATTGAGAAAGGCTAGAAAGAGGTTTAGAATGTTTATTTCATTTAGAAAAATTTATGGCTGGGCCAAATGACTTTATTAGAGAAAGCAAGAATCACAAAGGACTTCAAGAGTATATGGTACTAGTTTTGTTGGCCATGGAATGTTTTTTTTTTAGGGAAAAACATAATTTTTTTTAAAAAAATTTGTCCCTAAGGGGAAAATATCAATAGAAAAGTTTGGCTCTATTACTAACACATAAAATAATGCCTGTGAAATAATATTTTGATTAGTTAACTAAAAAGAGGATCCAAAATAAATTGATGTGTTGTAACAATTGGGAATCTCTAGTTTCACAGGGGAATGAGAAGGAATCACAGAGAGACCAAGTCATTAAAAAATGCTTGAGATGATAAAGCCAATCTTGGCTGTACCAATTTTTTCTTTGGATATTAAACAAACCCAGGAAGCATATTTTTTCAGTTATCTTTTTAGGGGGGAACAGTGGCCAAAGACAGCAAGTGAAAGATTGGCAAAGACACTTGGGTAACATAAGGAGAGCATGCAAACTTGGGACCAACCTTTTTTTGGAGGATTAAGGAAAGAATCTGAGAAAAGTGCATCTTACCCACATATCTTGGCCCTAGCCAGTCTTTGAACAGCAAATATGTTTTCAAAGCCTGTCTTTACAAGGTCTACACTCAAATATAGCAAACTTGGTAGGGAAAATTGGAGAAGCATCCAGAAGCTGAACTAATTCTCCAGTCTGAAACACCAAATTCATCCTTTGAAGAAATTGTTGGAAAAGGGATAGATAAGCTATATAACACTCTTATTGTTAGGAATGAATTTTCTAAGTTCTCTCCTATCACACAAGTGCTTTCTTCTTTTTTTGGGTCCCATCTTTCCTTTGAGTTTGTCTTCCCTTTTCAGATCCCATCAACTTTGCTATTTCCAGCTGTGGAATTGTGGGCCTTGGGTTTTCTAATCTAAATGAAAGGGGATAATTCTGAAATTATGCTTTACCTAAGAACAGCATATCAGGACTGTCTGATGGGTCACACAAAGGACAGCAGATTCCATCCTGACCTCCAGGAAGCAATATGGGGTTCAGCTGCCTGCCCTTTTTTAGTGTGCTCCATTCCACTCTGGTTGGGTCTCTTGCCAGACTAACACTGTGTTGACCAAGATAAAGCCAACAACGATGTTTACCTGAGTTCTGCACAGATGTTTGTCCTTTTGTGATGATGCCAGCACAATGCCATCACACAATGTAGTATATATTGTACTTTAAAGCCTTTTAGTCTATGGCAGAATCCTATCTTTTATGTCACCACTGCCTATTATTATTTAATTTTTTAGGAGAGACTCCTCTATGCTTTATATCGGTAGAGACCACATCGCATTTTATTGGGCTTCTTTTCTTTGTGGGCATACACAATCTGGCAAAGATTCCAGCAGGAGTTCCTGACCTCTACACCTTTGGGGCTTCAAGCTTCCTTCTCCCTGATGACAAGTGAGGCAGGTTCTTTACAGAAACATTTTCAAAACCATTCATGTCGACAACACACCTTTCATGCATAGAGTCCGACAGTGCTATGCAAACAGACACATCAAAACAGCACAAAACAGCTGGGAGCATGGCAGAGAAAAGAAACGTGGAACATGTGGCTTGGAAAATTTTAGTAGGGGAGCAGCCCAGTGTGTATGAGATGCGGAGGGAGTTGTCAGTGATGGTGCACATAACCGCCTGGAGATGAATGGCCGTGTAAGCTCACACTCATGGAGGATGGAAAGGCCTGTAGGGGAGCGCCTGGCGGGAGCTCTGGGGAGAGCA